GTTTAGTCCGCCGGCGGAAAACGTTCCAGGGGAACGGCTGTGCAGCACACTCAAAGATCTGGGCGGCCTCCTCGAACAGGGCCAGCTCAGCGGTCCGGCGTGGGCCGATCGGGGTGTTGCGAGCATAGGCCGATTTCAGCTTGAGCAAGGTCTTGAGTCGCTCGGCAGCCCGCGCTCTACCATACACGCTAGGGCACACCTTAGTGTGGGCAACGGCCTCACGGTGCGAAATGAACGGAGCATGGCAGGTGAGGCAGGCCCAACTCAAGAGAAACTTAGCAGTCAGAGAAGACTTTTTGCCACAGTGTTTGGGCCACCGAAAAGTGCGGAAGCCTGGCACGGGCGGGTGCTTTTGAGCAGTGGCCTTAAACTTGGTGACGGTCGTGGCCAGGGCCCGCTCGGAGCGATCCTTAGCATACCACTGCTTCCATGACAAAGACGGGTGGGCCTGGCTCTTGTGCAGTTTCTTATCCCGAGCAACGCGAGGGCGGCCAGCAGACAACGCCGCCTCGGTCGAGATGCCGCACTCGCAGTACTTGCACTTCCACGCACAATCCTGATCAGCAGACAGCGGAGCCACTAGGCTCGGGAGTTGCTGGCACATGGGGGCAGCTCCGGAGGGAGAGAAGCCACGGTGGTGGGAACCGAAGTGATTTTTCAAGGCCTTCTGGCAGCAACCGGGTCAGCGGTAGCAAACCTGAAAGGGCACAACCGACAGCGAGCATAACCGCCTTGGATCCATTGACACAGTCCAGGGCGGCCTGTCTTGCGCTTTGGACCGGTAGCGCATTCCTGCACCATCGCCTCCAGGTGATCCTCAGCCCGAGCTTGCGCAGCTGCATCCTCATCGGCGTGCCGACTGGCACCATCATGGACGCCTTCTGGCGGGATCGGCGGCGCGACCGTCCACTTGGTAACCCTAGAGGGAGGCTGACGTGTGCCCGAGGAGCGCCGGGCGCTGCCCTTAGAACCGGAACAAGCCAGCACAGGCTCAAGCTTACGTTTGCGGCCTACCTGAGAGGGTGCAACCTGAGAAGCAGCAGGTGGGGTCCAAACCGTACAACGGGAAGGGGGCCTAGAGGGTGCAGCCGACGAAGTAGAACGGGCGCTCTGGCGCGGAACGGTGCGAGCGCTCGGCCCGCCCCCCTCAGAGCCATCTGTCCACACAGTGTGCCTGCTGCTGGCCCCTCCTCCCCTCATCGGGATTTTGGGAGGCTCTGTCACAACATCACGGATTTGCTGCGGGAAGTCCTTCCCTTCCACCGGAAGTAAAGTATCAAAGTGGCTGCCGGAGAAGAGCAGCACGACATGCCTTTGCTTCTGTCCCGGCTTCACAGTGAAAACTTGCTCGGACAAAGCCCGGGGCACGACGGTGATGCGCACGTTGTGCATCCTGGCCAGGGCCCGGATTTCAAGCAGGCCGCCCCAAACCTTTGGTTTGGCCATTTCCTCGATGTACAATTCAAAGCTCTCGCCTTGGCTTCCGTTTGGTAGCTCCTTATCCCACTGGGCCTCGTAGACCGAGCGGTTCTTGACGAAGTGCTGGATCAACTCAGCTCGCACCAACAGGTGGTGAAGCTGTTCTTTGCCAGTGGTGGCAGCCAAGCCTTTGGCGAATGCCTCGAAAAGACAATTGCCTTCCTTGGGAATCTCATGCAGCACAAGGCCTGGCGGGATGGCCCGTTGCTCAGCCTGACGCCTCTTAGCAGGAGGGGCGGAATCATCGGGGGCCCGCTGCTTATCGCCAACCTGTGCCTGTGCCTGGGCCTGGCCCGCGGGGGCCATCTCGACGTCAGCCGGGCTAGTGGTGCCTTGGGGCTCCTCGGGCTTATCGGTCTTAGGCTGCGCTGTGGTCTCAGACTTCGCAAAGGGATCGGCAGGGCGAACAAGCGACCACGAACCCGAAGTGTGAATCGCCTGGCGTTGCACGGTGCGTGCCGGCGGCGCCCATCGGCACCAGAGCGTCTGGCCCTCGGCTCCGTTCTCCGCCTCAAGCGGCAGCCGGGGTCCACCAATGCGGGGTGTTCTCCAGCATCCACGTTCGAGCCGTCGGTTTGCTCGGGTCACGGGCCGTACGGCGCCCCAGGCTGCGAGTGCCACACACCAGGCCAAACTGAGCTCCTAGAGCACCGGCCCTAGCAAGGTAGTCCAGGGGCTGTTCTTTCGGGAGCTTGTCGATCCACTCGGTAGTGTAGTCAGGGAACCCCGACCGTTTCGAAGGGTCAACGAAGAGGCCTTGACCGCTCAAAGCGACGATGGCCTGTGCATCAGCGACATCGACCCTCGCGAGCCCAAACACCGAAGAGACTTCTTGGTTTTGGCGTTCTTTGGACCAGGCAAAGGAGTCCCGCACCCGAAGGCCGTGAGTGGCCACCCACAAGTGAAAGGCGGCCTGTGGGGCACGAAGGGCATCCTCCCACTTGGCCTTGAGCATGAACTGCTTATGAAAGCGGACATACAAGATCATGGTGGGGGTTTCGGCAACAGGCTTAAGGGCAGCCCCGGTGACCGCCGGCCCGGGCACCTGAAGGCCCGCAGTGAAAATCTTGCTGAAATGCACATGGCGGAAGGCCCTTTGCGAGCCCACTTCACCCGGGCAACGCTCGCCCTCGGAGGCCTTGGCAGCAACAACCACCAAGCGAACAGCATGTTGGGTGCCCGAGTGCTTGAGCAGCCCAGCGATGGTATCGAGCTGGTCCTGAGACTCACACAAGACAACCGCCTTAAAGGACCCGCCGCCCGGCAAACTCTGAAGCGCCTCGGCAACCTCATGGTACATGTAAACCTTGGCATCCCAGTCGGTAGCTCGGAGCTTCCACTGGGCCTCGGGTTTATCAGGCTTGCGGCGCTGCACAGTGGTCCACTGATCCTCGGCCTTGGGCTGGTTGGTCGGCTGTGCCTTGCCGGTCCCTTTGCCTTTCCGGGATGCGGTGCAGAAGCAGCAGCAGCTTTGCCTTGAGCCTTGCCAGCCTGAGGGCCTTTGGCGCCTTTACCTTTGCCTTTTGCCTGAGCACTTGTCTCGGGGCCTAAGGTGACCTGTCGGGTTGGGCTAGCTCGAGCTTGCGAGCCGCCGGCGCGTGCAAGGTTGGAGGCCGCCTTTTTGAGCCGGGCTTTCCTGCGTCGGTGGGCTCTTGAGCCAACAGGTGGCGAGTTTCTAGGGGCAGCCGCGGGGCGGCAGCACCACCCAGCAGAGAGGCGATGTCGAAGCCGGCAATGGCATCCTGAATGGCCTTTTGCACCGCCTGCTGAATGAAGCCGTGGAGGCTCGCAGGAATCTTGGGACCGGGGCCTGGGTTAGAAGCTTCCCCGACCCGTTGGGCATTAAGGAAATTGTGGTTGACACACAGGGCTTTCACAGAATTTCACAGCAAACCAAAGGCCCGCAAAGCAGTCGAGGCAGGGAAGAAACTGCTTACGAAGGGTTGGCGCTTCAGCATACCGCTGTGTGGCGAACGGGGATATACTCCGACCTGAAGGCCCGAAGCCACTGCACGCAGGAAACCCACCTAAGGGGAGAGGTCTAAACCCAAGGGGGGAGGCGAGGGAAGGCGACATTGCATCCGGCTCCCTTAGGGGCCGTTTGGCGCTACACCACGCCGCTGCGGAACCGCCTTCCCCAGTGACGCCACCCTCGTCGAAGAAGATCTGGCCGCCTTCACCAGTGAAGCCACCCTCGTCGGAGAAGATCTGGCCGCCTTGCCGGGGCGTCTCGCCGGCCATGGCAGGCAGCACGGAGGCATTACTTGCAGTGGGGGCCCACAAAAGGCCGGTGCAGAGTCCTCGGGTCTCTGTCCCTGGCTGTTTCGTCTGTTCTTGGGGTCCTTGGGTCCCCTCCCCAATCGGGCACGTAGCTCTTATTCCTGTGCTGGGCTGGGGTTCTTGGGTCCTCCTCC